TCCAAATATCAAATGTGTATATGCAACGCCCACTCACGTTTTCAAAATCATTGCCCTAAGTCTATCTATTAAGTGTTTATTTGTCTATTAACTTCTTTTTCCATTTGCTAATTTTACTTAACAAGCAGTAGCAGGTGCCAAAAGTTTAAGAAAATATTATAAGAGAAAAACGCTTAAGATTGGAAAGTTGCATTCCTGACTGATTTAAGGATATGGCTCGATAAATATTATTACTAAATTTGACTTGCTGAGCACCTCAAAGATCATCTAGTCCACACTTGTCACGTGATACTTGCTTAATAAATACTATTCAAATATGAATTTGAAACTCAAATTCTCTCAAAGCAAGGACGTATTTCATTCATATTTGAATCACGAGCTCCTAACAGTACCCAGCAAAATGTAGTTGCTCAATAAATGTTGGCTTAATAAATGAACTAAAAATTGGGAAAGTACACAAAAATCTACAAAGTACTTTGCATTTCTAATTAATCTGGATTGTAGTTGTCTCCATAAATAAATTATATTCCAAAGTCTATCAAATGTTCCTTCTGTATCAATCACCTCAACTGATATATTTAGAGTTTCTTTGGAAGAAGAAGTTTGTAGGTAGGATCCTCCTTTAGGTACTGATTAAGACAGACAGACAGGAGGAATATGTCACTTGCATTCTGTTAATATAACAAAGGGACCAAAGCTCCTGAACCTGTCAACAAGTGACACATACATAGACTCACATACATAGACTCACAAGCCTCCCATTCAAACTGTGTCTGTCACCAATAAAAAACCCCACACCAAGTATGTTACATACTCCTTTCTAACTGAAAGCCAGGATGGCCTAAAATTAAACAGAAGGCTAAGATCCTATTATTTCTCTTTCACTAAAAATGAGGCTGTGCAAAAACATGTATTAGCATGGACACTCATTATTTATTGCTGGGTGGAAAAGTCACCAAGCAGTCTGGAGCATACACTACTTTTTTAGGAATAAAGTAAAAATAAGCCTATACTTAACAGTGGTTCTCAACCTTCCTAATGTCGCGATGTATTTCCATTGTTACAAAGGAGTCGCGACCCACAGGTTGAAAACTGCTGCTATACTGTATGTATTATAAAGAATAAAATGACAGCAGGTTTTATTTACTTCTTTTGTAATAACCCATGGCTAATTTCATGAAGGTACATTTACATTTTGTCACCATTACGGAATCAAGTTTCCAGAAATCTATCTCAAATAATTAAATAAAATGCATCAAGCAAGGACTTTGAAAACATGTATGTGGTTAAAAAAAACAATGAAAGTAGAGGACAGAGATTAAAAAGAAGTACGGAGGTTGTTTGGAGTTCTGAATTTTCTCTAAAACTGTGTTTGCCTTCCCAAACAGAAATCACCAAGACATTTACAAATTCCTTAGTGTTCAAGGTACTGTCAGAAAAAGTCTCTAATGACTTCAATAGATTTCAGGAAAGACGCCCCCCTCCATCCCCTCATGTTAACTCCATATAATTAGTTCTTCAGGACTAGACCTATATGCAGCACACTTCTGCATTACACCTTCTCCTTTTAGTATAAACTTCAGGGTAAATTGTGAACATTCTTCTGTGCATATAAATACTAGCTGACATCAGTTTTAGGAAGCAGAGATCTATCTGTCACTGTTCATGCAGTAACAGTGGGTGTCTTTAGCTTATTATTGTAAATACAAGTTCTACAGATGCTTTACCTCTACAAAATGGAAACATAATGTTTACATCAGTGCCACGGTATATCCCAAAAGGGAATATTTTGGTATAATGGAAGAAAAATATTACACTAGAGACTATACTGAATTTTAAAGAAATGCTACATGACCAGGCACAGGGGCTCACACTATAATCTCAGCACTCTGAGAGGCCGAAGCAGGTGGCCTCAGCTGAGCTCAGGAGTTCAAGACCAGTCTGAGCAAAAGCAAGATGCCACCACCTCTACTTAAAACTGAAAAACTAGCCAGGTACTGTGGTGGGTGCCTGTAGTCCCAGCTACTTGGAAGGGTGAGGCAACAGCATCATTTCAGCCCAAGAGTTTGAGGTTGCAGTGAGCTATGAGGCCACAGCACTCTACCAGGGGCAACACAGTGATACTCTGTCTTAAAAAAAAAAATAAGAAAAGAAATTCTACACAGGCAGCTCCTGTGTCTCAGTGGGTAGGGTGTTGGCCCCATATACTGAGGGTAGTGGGTTCAAACCTGGCCCAGCCAAACTGCAACAAAAAAAATAGCTGGGCATTGTGGCAGACGCCTATAGTCCCGGCTACTTGGGAGGCTGAGGCAAGAGAATCACCTAAGCCCTGGAGGTTGCTGTGAGCAGTGAAGCTACAGCACTCTACAGAGGGCAATGAAGTGAGACTCTGACTCTAAAAAAAAAAAAAGAAATGCTACACTATTTGCAAAGCAGTTTAAATAGTGTACTTTCTGAGGCTAAGTTATATTCCAATCTAAAAACATCACAAACATCACTATGAATATCTACATCCTGAAGCCCAGAGAATTAGTCTTCTGACCTTTTCATTCCACTTCTGTGGACAGATTGACGGCTTCCAATAAAACCCTTTTCAAACACAAATCCTTCCAAGACAGAAGAACAATTACAACACAAAAGAATTCCTTTAAGATTAATATGTGATTATAAGACAACAAAATTCAACTCATTCCTATAACTTTTAAAAATTTCACTGACAATAATATTCATTATTGCAATTATTTCACTGTAACAAAAAAAGTTATTTTTGGTGAAAATTTTCAAAGTCCTTACTTTCAGTAGATTTATATTCTAGCACAGAATTAAAAGCCTACAGAAATAATATTCGTGTATATGAATGTGTGTGTATACCTGCATATGTTAATAATTTTTCAGTACAAATACGTGACTTCAAATGAGCTCCAAAATGGAAGACCTTACGTGTAATTATTACAAAATAATGCAATCTAATCATAATAAAACTTATAGTAAACATGATAAAAATCTATAAAATCTGATCTCACTGTTTAATGCTTCTATAGAACTTCTACAATGAAATTCTGTCTTATTTTATTTTAAAAATGTACCAACTAGTTCATCTGTATTGTTAGGAAGGAAAAGAAGCTGTAAGACAAAAGGCACAAAAAATTTAGAAAAATATCCAGGAATTTAATGGGATAACAAGTCCCCACTGTCAATGATAACGGTTTCTGGAATATGCCAGAAAGGAGATTTGTGTGCATGTGTGTGCACCCACACAAGCATGTTCTGTGTTCTGTTTTGCATACACTGTTACGGGCATTTGATCATTCATGCTTCCAAGCAGTATCCACAAAAAAAGAACTGGCTTTATTAACTGTAAGACCCATTTTTACTTTTCTAAAAGATCAAGAAATGAAAACGAACGTTCTAGTCTCAATCAACTTTTTTCCTAAAAACAAAAACAATTCATATAAGTGTCTCAATTATAATGTCTTATAGTACCTCAAAAAATTATAAAACTGAGAGTTGTATCAATTTTTCTAAGACCAAGCTACATGGGGAATTTAACGGACAAGCACTTTTAAATCTTGTTTTGCTTTCAGACCAAAAAAGAAGCAAGTAGAGTTTATTCCTACTCTAAACACCCCGAATCAAAGAGCACATCCAAAATGTCTACAAGTCTGAAGTATGTGAAGCTGAGCGACTGGACTGGCGTTTCTGTTACATCACACTACACTGCCTTATCTTCACTGTTTAACTCAGCAGCTGCAAACCTATACACAACCTTGAGGACTCAGCTTATAAAACTCAAAAGAAATGGCACCCTCATCCCTTGGAATTTTTGTTTTTTTACAAAGAGGTCTCCTAAGTCCTCTGCAAATTACAAATCCATAAAAGCATTAAAAAAAATTATTAAGCCAAAAATAAAAGTCCATAGAAAAGCCACGGGCTCATTGCTAACATTCTGAGAGAAGCAGTATAACGGATTTATTTTAAAGCAAGCTGTAAATGACTTACTTTTCCCAGGTCTTTGGTACAAAGCTCAGAAGGCAAGCTCCCTTTCCCCCACGAAGCCTGTTAATGAACAGCGATCACCAAGGAGGTCAGGCACTCCAAATAGATCTAGAAATTGTATAAAGACAGAAATTTAAAATTCAGATAATAAATTAAAAATCCCAATACCCCACTGCTATTCAGAGTATCTGCATAATTGTAATAAAGACTTCTCTTTCTTGTTTTCATATTATACGAACCAGGCCTTCCAAATCTAGATGGCATCTCAATCTGTCTTCGTATTAAAGTTCCTATAGGAGGAACTAGCAAGGCTTGCTGGCAACCACTTCTGTTAAAAACGTCCTTCTCAGAGAGTCACAAAAACAAGCTTTAAAAATGCTAAGTTCTAAGTATACTGTGACTTGGGAGGGAAGGTCTTCCAAAATCACACTTGCCAGCCCCCCTTTCTAGGATGAGCCCATCTCATAAGCCCAAAGTGCTTATAAACAGAAGCAAACCATAACAATTTTTAAAGAAAATTATCAACCATTTTTAAACATTCCTCAAATGTATTGATTTATGCACACTTCACTTTTGCAGAAGGAAATAAGAGGGTGTTCATTTTTTTCTAATAAAACACAAAATCTGAAAATTCTGCATGATTAATAATCTCACTTAAAACATAAATGAGTTCACCAACAATCCTGCCAATGGATACACAGGTAATAACTCATTAATAAGACGGATATACAGGTAATAACTCATTAATAAGATAAAATAGCTTAAGTAGGCGAGACAGATACCACAGGCAACCTATAATCTAATGTTGTGGCCTAACGACCCCACCCCTCATCTTCTCCCATTACAGACTTTACCTTAGATGTAATTCTAAGAAACATGATAAGCTCATGTACAACCCACAAGAGACTAAGAAATCAGTCCACTGAGAAAGGCACCATTACAGCAAGGCGTACTAACTAGAAAGCAGACAGAACCCAACAATTATGGGGCCGGCGCCCTACTCCCTGAGCCACAGGCACTGCCCCGTATTCCGTATTTCAGTTTGTAAATACTTTCTAAATCTTCCTGGACATCACTGTATATCACACAGTACGTTCAGTTCTGCTAAAACACTCGCGTTTATTCCAAAAGAACAATTTGAATGTAACTTGAATTCTGTGTTTGTTTGTACATAATTTCATTGTGAGAACTAGGTAATCGCAGAAGACTGCACCCAGGCTGAACCCAGCTGCCCAGGGCGCACACGGTCCACGCCCCCAATAGGAAGCAGCTACCTTGGTGTCCTCCAGTGTGCTATGAGCCACCCCCGTCCTCATCCAGGGTCCTGAGTCTGCCAGCTTTCAGGTCACCCATCTTGTACCTCGTCCCAGTAACAGAAGCAGCAGCCCTTCCAAAGCAAATGTCAAGATTTTTTTCAAGATAAAGTGTCATAGTTACTGTACTATTTATCTATTTTTAACTATTTATAGAATGTTTTTAAAAATTATGCTATTGTTTTTATTCTGTCCTCATCTCTTCGTAATGTGTCACTGATAGTTTCTTGAGTATTATGTCCTCAGTCCCATTTTTCTCATAAGCACTGTGGGTTTTCTACATGATTTGCCATAATATGGTGGTTTGAAGGAATAAATACATTAAATAATGTATATTATTAAATAATGTATATTGTTTAATGTATATAATTAATAATGTATATTATTAAATAATAAATACATTAAATTTTAGCAGAACTGGCTGTACCAAGCTGAAGTGTATAAGGATGCTTGTGATTTAGTCAGAAGGGGTTAGACTGAGGTTTTCATGTTTTGTCATGTTTAAGAGTATGGTGATATAATACATACAATTAATACAATTTTAAAAAGATTTTCATTCACAATATTTACCATTACCAAGTACAGACACTTAAGGGTCACTTTCAAGTATGTGAAAAATTATTTATGAGAAGTTCCCTAATGGTATTAAATAATTTTTTATTTTTATTTTTGAGACAGAGTCTCACTCTGTTGCCCAGGCGAGAGCACCATGGCACCAGCCTAGCTCACAGCAACCTCAAACTTCTGGGCTCCAGCGATCCTCCTGCCTCAGCCTCCCATGTAGCTGGGACTACAGGTACCAATCAGGCACAACATCTGGCTAACTTTCCCAATTTTTAATAGAAATAGGTTCTCACTCTTGCTTAGCCTGGTCTTGAGCTTCTGAGCTCAAAGGATCCCCCTGCCATGACATCCCAGAGTGCTAGGATTACAGGTGTGAGCCACCATACCAGGCCTAGCATTAGATAAACTGAGGTATTACTGCACCATTTTGGACAAACCAAGGTGATAGTGTTATGAAGATCGACTCTTGCAGCCAAAAGAGCTCAACCTTATTGCTGGAAAAGATAAAATGAATGAAAACTTTTCAAACTAAACTAAAAAGTTCAAAACTAAAAAGTTCAAAACAGACTCTGAATTTTCTTTAAAAAAAATTTAAGACATGCATGAAGATATACAAAGAAGTTTATTATAAGTAACATCATTGCAAATAATTCTGAAAACATAAATACCCAACAATGGATAGTTGTTCTGTTGTTTTTTTTAAAGACAGAGCCTCACTATGTAGAGTACCATGGCATCACAGCTCATAGGAACCTCAAACTCCTGGGCTCAAGTGATTACCTTGCCTCAGCCTCTCAAGTAGCTGGGACTACCGATGCTCACCACAATTCCCAGCTATTTTTGTTGTTGTTGTTATTGTTGGTTAGCTAGCCTGGGCCAGGTTCAAACCTACCAACTTCGGTGTATGTGGCTAGCGCTGTAACCACTGTGCTACGAGCGCCAAGCCACAATGGATAGTTTTTTCAACATCTGTAGAATATTTAATAAGATGGGTAAATGTTTTCAATCAGACTATAAAGCACCATGATCAGTATCATCCCAGTTTTGTTTAAAAGTATCCACATGTAGAAAAAAAGATCAAGAAAAAAATGCCAACATTTCAAAAGCTCCTAATTACAGACAGGAGAATTAAAACAGTCATTTTTACTTTCTTTACATTTTGCACTTAATGGGAAAGTTCTCTTTTTGCCCTCACTTTAATTTCACACATGAATCCAGCCAGTAGAACAAAGGCCTAGGAACAAGGAACAGCAGAAGTCTCAACAACCACAAGTCCTGATGGGTCCAATCACACGGTCAAACTTCTGAAAAGTACTTTCTATCTCATAATTCAAGGACAAATACTAGCATGTTTAAAGGATTTAAACCCATCAGAGAGGCCAAAATATAATTTTCTTTACATGGCAAAAACAGTCATGGATTTAGTAAAATCCAGATGAAAGATTTTTAATTACATAATTGTATTCAAGCTGTCTTAATGTCTGAAAGAAATTTCATTCTGAATAAGGAAATTGTGTTCTATATAAAGCTCCTTTCAAACAAGATCAAGATTAAACAAATACAAGGAGGGATGGATTCAGGCAGGGGGATGAACTTCTAATCCAAAGAGTTTTAAATAGAAAGTAAGAAAGGCTGATCTTTATAACCTCCAAAAGAACTCAGCTATATTAAAATTCTCCCAATAACAAAACTTGACTTTTTTTTTATTATTATTATTGCTGGGGATTCATCGAGGGTACAAAGAAGCAGATTACACTGATTCTATTTGTTAGGAAAATTCCTTATAATTGTGCCCCACCACCAAAAGGTGTCACACACTGTGATCCCCCCCCACCTCCCTCCTCCCCTCTCTTTGCTCTCCCCTTCCCCCACCTCCCATCATGCACTAGCATCAGTTGTCCTCATATCAGAATTGAATACATTGGACACTTGCTTCTCCATTCTTGGGATGCTTTACTAAGAATGTATTCCACTTCCATCCAGGTTAATACACAAGATATAAAGTCTCCATCTTTTTTAGTGGCTGAATAGTATTCCATGGTAAACATATACCATAGCTTATTAAGCCATTCCTGGGTTGGTGGGCATTTAGGCCATTTAACAAAACTTGACTTTGAAAGTAATCCACTTGTCAAAAATAATGACTCTTTAGTCATTAGTTTAATCCCACACACTGACATCACATAAGAAATGAATGTTGGCTTGGCGCCTATAGCTCAACAGGCTAAGGCGCCAGCCACGTACACCTAAGGTGGCGGGTTTGAATCCCCAGCCC